TGGCTGTGTTGAACGCCTTCCAGCCTCCTCCATAACAAAAAATCAATTGTCAAAATTACAGAAGAATAAGAAATTTAAGAAAAGAAATATTTCACACATTCCACGATTAAACTCAATTAAATTTACGGTCCCCCCTATTTTGCCAAGCATTATAACTACTTATAACAATGTAAACCCAAATTGGCCCATTCCTAATCTTCTCCGTTTATTCAACATCCAGCCAATATTTTGTTATCTCCCATTATTCAATATCCAACCCATTCACTCAATGTTTGCCGCGGGAGTGTCGCATCCTGCGAATTACTCATTTAATTAAACTTATGAAATTACGAAATCTGTTAATCACTGAAATTCTTTATTCACTTTCTCACACAAACTTATTACAAAATACTTTCCTGTAAATCAACCGCTATAAAAATAGCTGGCTTTTCCCCCGTTTTATCTATCTCAGCGGTCATTAAGCTCTCTTTGGATCACAATCTGTCCCTTTTATTATAAAAATATTATGCTTTTTCCCTTGTTAAATTAATTGTAGTTTTCATTGCGAAATAAATAAATTATTAAACGTTGTATTAATTAATTAGGAGTCCCGAAATTATAGGACCATTTCCTACAGGAAAAATGAAGATATATTTGGGTGTGGATTAGTATATCCTCCAAAAGAAAAATTTAAAGAAGAATTGCCCTATGTTTTCTTTACACAAAATGGGGAACGTATTGGTCTTTAAAAATATTAAAAAAAATTATTTTTTAAAATTATTTAAGGTAAACCGATATTAATTGAAGGAATATGTAAAGATTATAAACCTTTTGTTGATTTATTGTGTTGTTCCGTTGAAACGAATTTTGGAGAGGATTTGGAAAATAACCCGTTTAAGTATAATATTTATCAACATTTTATTAAAGAATAATTTCATGAAAAGGAAGAGAATTTTAACAGTTAAAATTTTTGATTAAATATTTATTTTTGGATCTCGTATTTGAAATTTTTGAAATAATTATTTTCGAGAAATATAAAAACTTTTTTCATTTACAAATTTCAATAAATACATGTTAATAGAGACGTCCAAGACCTAAAATTTTCGAACACTCTAAAGCCAAGGCCAAGAGTCCTTAGTCTTTAACGTCTCTATATGTCAACAATACTCATATTTCTTCCCCAAACAAATTAATTTCTTTTTTTGATTGTATTTAATTATAAAACATATACTGACTGCTCTAAAATTAAAAAAATTATTTAAAACAATTTTTAATTTAAAATTTATTTTTTACATTATTGCCATAAAAATCAGAGTAATTAAAATTCCAAATAAAGCAGCAATTCCAAAATATAAATTATTTAATGGAAGATTCACAAAGGAATTTGTCTCAAAATTGTTAGGCATACCCTCAGCAATAATCATTGGAATGTTTAAAGGTCTATTCCCTAGTTGAAAACTGAAATTAACAAAACAACGTTTTAAAGAATTTTTAGAAATTATTACCTCATATTATTTTCTGAATTTTTAACCATTATAAACTCGTCCAATACTTTGTTACTGAAATAAATTAAAATTGTGATTAAAATACATTTATTCAAAATTCTCTTACTAATCTTGAAACAAAGCAATAGCAACACGCCAGCGCTGTTTTGGAGATGTAGCATTTTTACATGTAAAAATTTCGTCTTTCATAGCAAATTCAGGAAGAGAACTAGCCAAACCTAAATCGTCAGCTCTAACAACGGCACGTACAGCTACAGATTCTGGATTATAACCTCCATCTGCTCCACACATGTCTCCAATTCTTCTAAGTATTTTATCCTTTTCTGGATAACAACTGGAAAATTTTAATTGTTTTTTTTTAATTTTATAATGAAGTTATAGATTTATTAAGCAGAATATTTTTGTAACCTTTTAAACTCTTCAGAAATATCTCCATAACAATCTTTACTTCCCAAATAAGAGTTACTTGTTGTTGTAATATAAATAGTAACATGTTTATCATTTTGTTTAAACCATTCTGTATGATCAGTACGTCTAGCAATATTTCCACCATTATTAGCAACAAAAATCATAAAACGTTGACTATACAAAAATTTTAGTTAAAAGTTTTTTTGGAAATATTTTTTATTGATATATTTTCTAGGTTTAAGAATTTTTTAATTTAAAAATAATTTTAATAATAATATAAAAATAATTAACAATGGATAGAAGGCAGTCAGCATTTTTAGAATTGAATCAGCTACATGTTGGTTACCATAAATAAAATTTCCAGAATTTAATTCCAAATCAAATGCTTTTTTTGCAATTTTAGAAATTAATTCAGATGAAACAATATTCTAAATAATGCCTCGATTATTTTAAATATTTAATAAGCTTTTAATCTTGGATAAAAATATAATTAGCAAAAATCAACTTACAATATTTTGGAGCATAAATAAACATATTACTAATGAGAAAGTAAGTGGAAAGTACATTTATTGTTAGTAATTTAAATTTATTTATTCATCTTAGAATTATCTCAAATTTTTAAAAATATTTATTTTTTGATATAATTTTTTTAATTAGAAGCACCCAAAAAACAATAAAAATATTAAAATAAAAATTTAATTATAGTAATTTAATTAATATTTATTTGTCGCATCAAAGGTTGTTTGTTTGATTTATTATTATTCGAATTTATATATAATAATTAAATATATTAATACATCTACTAAATTCTTAGTAAGAACACACCTATTTTATTGGCCTATTTTCATTTTTTCTATTAAAATTTTTATCAATCACAAGAATGATTGTTAACAATAAAAAAACAAAACATTATTTATTCTTTCAAATAATTACAACTACTTTTTTTTAATTTGATTCGATTTTAAAATAAAAATTTTTTAAATGTTGTTAGTGAAATGGATTAAAAGTGCTAAAAAATAAATAAAAATACTTTAAATATTATTAATATATTCCTCAAATTAATTAATAATATTAATTATGATCACTTAATAAATAAATTAATAATATATATTAGTAATCATTTAATAATTAAAATATTTAATTAATTAATGATAAAATGAAGAAATGAAAATATTTGTAAAGATCACCGTAATGTTCCAAAATAGTCCCCGACGAAAATAATAGTCCCCGACATTGGTCAATCTTCACTTTATATTTATTATTCACAAAATTGTCTCAAAAATGTAAAATTGCGCTTCTGCACTTTCCACGGTCACATATCTGTTTTTTCATTATTTAATATTGTGGTGGCCCAATGTTTGGTTAATGGACGGACAATTCTGGATTTATTTTTAGAGACTTCGCCCTTTTTGATTCACTTTCTTCGTAAAGTAGAAGACATTTTTATTTTTAAAAAACATATTTTTGAATAAAATTGTTGGAAATGAATAAATATTTGTTGAATTACTTGTTGAATAATTAAAGTTTGAATCAGAAATGTCACATTTTTTATTTTTGTTGGAGAAATTTATAAAGATAAATGTTTTTATTTAAAAATATCTTTAAATAACAAAAAATAAATTGAATGAAAAAGATCAGAAAGGTAGATAAAACTGCAAGGTGGTGTAAAGCTTATGTTGGGCCTTAAAGTAGAAACAATAAAATTTAGTTGAAATTATTCATAATATTATTTTAGTCTATTTTTTACATAAATAATATTTTTTTAAATTATTAAAAGAAAATACATATGTTTTTTTAGTTTTTTACAAATAAATATTATTTTTGTTTTTACAATTTTATTTCTTTCAAATCATTTCGGTATAAAATCTCAAATATTTTTCAAATATTCATATATTAATAATTAATAGAAAATCACAGAATTTCTTTAATTTATAACATTTTTAGTACAAATTCAAACCAATTTAATTTAAAAAAGCTTAAGATTAATTACTCTTTTAATTAAAATAATTAATTTTAATATAAATATATTATAGAAAAAAATAATAAATAAATAAATTTACAAAATAATATGGGAGGAAGCTCTTCATCTTGTAGAACATCTCAATATAGAACAGAAGTAAGTAAAAGCATTTAAAATATAAACTTTTAAATTATTTAGATAAAAATATAATTATTTATATTTACAAATAATAGAGAAAATATATTTTAATTGAGTTCAAAAAATGAGAAAATAAAATTTTAAAAAATAATTGTCTAAATATTTTTCAGGTTCGAAACAATGAAGATCTTCGGGATAGAATTAAAAAAACTCATGATTCAATAGAGAGGGTAGGACAAATGATTGAAAATGGAATGGTAACTCAAGAGGAACTTGAAAATAAAGTTGAAAGTCTCGAAGAAGAAAATCGGCAATTACGAGAAGGTATTTATTTATCCCTATTTTTCTCAAAATATTTAAATAAACAAAATATTGCTTTAAAAGGAATTAGAGATAATACATAAAAATTGTTTAAATTTAAAAGAAATAATTTCTAATATATCAGGTAATTAATATTTTTATTTAAATTTAGCCGCTAAGAAATGTACTGTCGATTCTACACTTCGTGATGCAATTGAGGCTATTAACGATTTAGTTTATGAAATTGGTCGAGCAGTTGGTCGTGGAATTCGGGCTGTTTTTGATGTTATTGGACGTGCAATAAAAGGAATTGGAAATGTTATTGCTCGTGCTTTGACGGCAATTGGAAATGTTATTTCTAGTTGTCTTAAGGCTATTGGTAATTTGTTATCCCGATTCTTTAGATGGATTGGTTCTTGGTTTAGTTGAAAAGCATAATTATTTTTTAGGAATGTTTGAATTAAATGAATGTAATAATCAATTCTAGGATAAAATTTTCTTTCCTTATCCTGACAAATTGTCTAAAAATCAGGAGTATTATCATAAATATTAATAATATAAACAAATTATTTTTTCATAATAGAATAAATATGATCATTTTCTACAATTTTTTCCATCTTGATTAATAGTCAAGTAACAAATATTATTTATAATTCTGTTAATGATTATTAAATATTTTATTTAATTTCAGAAAAATACTTTAATTTCAAGCTTAATATTTACTTTAAACGCCATGGATAGTATACAAGGTACAATTTTTTTAAATCCGTCTAAAGTTTAGTACGGGGATTAATTTAAAATATATTAGATAAGATTTACTCTAGAAGGTTGGAAAGAATTATGTAGGTATAATTTCAATATTACATCAGTTCCAGGCCGTTAAATTTCTTATTTTTGTTTAGGTGTGACACAACATTTATTTATATTAAAATCACATATACATTATACATAATTCCTATTTTAGAACGAAGAGAAATTTTAAAAATCCTTGATGTGTTAGATAATCGACTGATTGCTATGGAAAATATGCTGCATGCAATGGCAGAATCTAATGCGAGACTTCATCAGCGCATAGACCAATTAGAGGAAGAAAACAGAAAATTGAGGAAAATTATCGAGGATAGCGGATCATCATTTTGGAGGAAACTTTGGCGTGGTATAGCGGAAGCAGGTGTATCATTGGTCAAGGGCCTAGGTAGAAAACTTATTAACTTTTTCGAAGGACGTCTAAGACCTAAAAATTTCTATGACTCAAGACCAGACTGAGCATCAAGAACCATGACTAGACCCAAGACACAATAAAATTTTTGAGTTAAGACTCAAGACCAAGAGTCTTGGACATCTTTAGTGTTTTACACGGATTGATAAAATATTGAAAGATATGGGATCTTAAAATTTTTTTATCAAATATTAAAATATAGAAATTCGTAATACTTGAAAACATTAAATCAAGAAAGCTATAAAATGTCAATAACTTTACTTATTTTTGGAAAAAATGAAAAATTTAATTTTTATTTATTTAAATTAGTTGGAGGAGTTGTCGTAAAAGTCGTCAATGGATGCAAGAGATTGTGTGGATGAATGCATCAGATGATCAAAATAGAAAATATGGACAAACAAAATATTTACTTAATATTTAAATCTAAAGGTTTTCTCTAATGTAGTATAGCTATTTAAATATTACAATAATTAAAAATAAAATTTTCTATAATTAAATCAAATATAGAAATATTCTTAAAGATTTTCTAGTGTTGGAATATTTAAAGTTTTAAACTATAAATTTATTTTTTTATTTAGTTTCAGCATTTTTTTTAAATATTCAGATATTTTATTTTAATTAAAATGGATAATGAAGAAGGTATTATTTAAATTTAAAATAACAATTTGTTATTCATTTTTAAATAAATTTAAATATATTTTTTTTATTGTAGACAAAAATGCTTTGAAAAAGATTGATGAAATAGAACATCGAGCAAATATTTTAGAAAAAGCTATGCTAGAACAACAAGAAATCAGAACAAAAGCTGAAGAAAAAATTGAAGCAATAAGTATAACACAGGAAAATAATAAGAAACATTTAAAAAATAAAATTAAAAAAGAAGAATCGTTCTGGAAATATTTAACTAATTTCTTCACTTCTGCTTGTAATGTTGAAAATAAAGGTGAAGTATAGTATTCATTAAAAATAATAAATTGAAATAAAAATTTCCAAATTTTTTTTTATTTTTTTAAATTTTCAGAAAGTGAAACAACATAAAATATTGAAGAAAGTAAAAGTAAGGATGTTTTAGAAAAGGAAATTAAAGACAAAGAATAGACTAAATTGACATAAAATTAATAAATTTTTAAAATAAAATTTGATTTTTAAAGAATTTATTTTTTATAAAATTTTTTTTAATTGGGTTAGTATGTTAGTGATGTTCGGGTATCCCGACTCGCGACACCCGACTCGGGAAATTTCCCGAGTTTTTGGCCTCCCGATCCCGACCCCGACTCCCGATGCCAATTCCCGACTAAGTCGGGAAATTTTTACACCCCTAAGAATGGCTTTTTCTCATAAAATTTTATTTTTGAAAGGAAAAAATAAAGAAAAAAAATAAAAAAAGAGAAAGAAAAATAAAATATTTAAATTTTTCCCATATAACTATTGTTGAGACGTGGTTGAGTGGTTAAGTTGAGTGACTTCAGTTGCTTTGTTGGGGCTGGGTTCGAATCCAGGGCTGGTAAATGTTTTTAAATAATTTTTCCACCCAAAAATAAATGGTTTTAACATTGATTTTGATTTTAAAATTTTAAAGTTATTTTTTTCAATACTATAAACGTCAAAAAATTCCAGAAATATTAATTAGTCATGAATTTTCAAAAATTTTCGCCTGTGGCGCAGAAAATGAAAAATATCTGACTTCTTAGCAGTGGTGGGCAAAGTTCCAGTTCCAGAACTAGAACTACGGAACTAGTAAATGTCTGGAACTAGCTTTGGAACTAGTTCTGGAACTAGTTCTTTGGGGGTATATTTTTGACTTCCCTCGATGAAGTTTCTTAAATTCTCAAAATTTTCGCCTGCGGCGCAGAAAAAGTGGATTTTTTGGCCTACGACCTTAGAAATTCTCAAAAATAAAGGACGAGTCTGGTTCTTAGCCTTCGACTTAAGAAAATTTTCGCCTGCGGCGCGGACAAAGGATTTTAGATTGTCGAGAGTGATCATAACATCAATGGCGTATCCAGGAGGTTAGATGTCTGGCTTCCTGACCTTCCAAAATTCTCAAAATCTTCGCCTGCATAGCAAAAAATTGGTATTTTGGCGCCTTCGGCGCCAAAAATTTTTTTGTTGTAAATTCCCGACTCCCGATCCCGACTCCCGAGGTCATTTCCCGACCCGACTCCCGTTTCCCGATTCCCGAGTTTTTTCTTCTCCCGAACATCACTATAGTATGTATGCATTTTTAAATAATATTTTTAAAATATTCTACTTTTGGAAAAAAGCTCCATTTTAGAAAATGTAATAAAATTCAAATTCTTTACCTAACAAATAAGTAAAAATACCAGGAAAATTATAAGTAACTTTTAGGTCTTCTCTCGGCTAAAAATAATTTAGGATTCTCATAAAATAGTGTCTTTATATGTAGATATAATTTTCTTAAATTTACACTAAAAAATCAAATAGGTATTTTATTTTTTTATCTTTTCAAGAAAAACTTGAAAGAATCTTAAAATAATTTATTTAAATAATTTCTCGAACAACAATATCTGGCTCTTCAACAATTAAAAGTGAAAATATTTCTTCTAAAGAAATGCAAATTGAAGAAAAACTCGGCCTTTTCTCTGGAAATATATCCCAACATTTTAGAACCAAAAGTCCACTGAAAAAATATAAGGAAAATTTTTAAATAATTTTTCTAACAAACTAAAGTCCAGCTGGACATTGAGACGGGCGGGGAAGGCGCCAATCTGACTTTAATTTTGGTAAAACGTCTCTAACTTCTTCTGTCCCATAAGGCATTTCTCCACGAGAAAAACATTCCCAAATAACAATTCCAAATGACCAAACATCGCTTTTTTCAGAGAATTTGCTATATGGAAGAATTTCCCCATTTTGTCCCAGACATTCAATAGCTGTCCAACGCAAAGGTAAACGTACAGGACTTGAACAAGTATAGTTAGCATCTGCATTGAAATGTCGACTTAGTCCAAAATCAGCTATTTTAATAGCTGTACAATCACGATTCAACCTTTTAATAAAAAAATAAATAATAAAACGAGAGAAATATAAAATGATTTGTCTGGTTTTTTTAATTTTCAAGTTTTTTTTAATTTTGTTGGCCTCTGAATGGGAAGGAGAATTCTTCTAGGTAAATCTCATTTAAGTGCAATTAGTCACGCTGATGTGAGGGTAATGTATAACTGCCCCTTATCTACTAGCCTAATATTTATCTAATTAAAATTTAATGAACAGACATGCAATTCCTTGCAGCCAAATCTCTATGTATTATCTTTTTTGAAGATAAATATTCCATTCCTTCAGCTATTTGGCCAATAAAATTAAAAATATGTCCAACAGTTAAAATCTACAAAATAAAATATTAAATTTAAAATAATTTTTCTTTAACATTTTTTCTTGAACTAATAAACGAATGTAGATCACCCCCAGGCATATATTCACTAACAATTCTCATATCATTAAAAGCATCCCTATAATAACCAATATATTCAACAATTCTTTCATGTTTTAATTGTGCATTTATTTTTGTTTCTTCAATTATCATATCCAAACGAAATGCCTCTTTTGATGGGACTTTAACAACAACATCCATAACTCCATCCTCTAAATAACGATAACGACCAAAATAAACACGAGAATTTGGACCTTTTAATTAAATATTTATATGAGGATTCCCATTAAATAAATTACCAGAATAAATTAAATATTCAATATCTATAGCTGTACAATCCAATATTCTATTTAACAGTCCTTTTCGAATTCGAAGGAACCAGTAAATCTGTTTTCTTAAACTTAGATCACCTCTTTTATCTTTAACTTTATTCATAACCAAAATTGAGAATCCCCTATAGAAATAATTTTTGAATTAAAAAAATTAATATCAAACATTAATCCAATTGCAACAAAGCCAACAAATGTGCCAAAAAGAGCAAAAATTCCAAAAACAGGGGAAATATAAACACCATTATCTTCCTCAACAACATTTGGGAAACTAATTTAAAAAATTGTAATAGAGTTGTTTAATAGATCACACTCGTCCTACGGAAATGCATTGGGATCAAGATTCTTGGATTAAGATTGGGGCAAGATTGGTCGGATTCGATGGGATCAATTTGATCAATCATTGGATCAAGACCAACCACTCATGGGATCATTCAATCACTACAGGGAATCGTTGGTTGGTGGAATCAGTGATTTATATATACAATTGATAGTTGATTTGAAAAAGCTCGTAAGTCGTGTATTAAAAATTACAACGATCAAACATTAAAAAGGTAATTTAAACTGGGGTCTAGTAGTACATATTGGATGTTCTCATAAATAGTTCTCTCCGTATTTAAAATTTAAGTACCTTAATAATTCATTCTTTTCTATTTCAGATATAAAAGTATTAAATTCAAATATTTCATTTAATCCCGTAACATTATCCATGTCTGCCATTAAAATTCCATTCTTGTCTAGTTTTACACTTACAAACTTTTCATTAATTTTAGATTTAATTGTATATTCTTCCTCATTTCCTTTCTTTTCAAAAATAAATTTTTGTTCATTTTTAACTATATCACTTCCCAAAATTAAAATTCCTCCATTTTTTAAGTCAACAGAAACAAATTTTTGATTTACTCTTGACTTAAATGAAATTGTGCCGTCATTATTTGATTGGATTAAAAACTCTTCCCAAATTTCTTCAGAATTTTGTTCAGAAGCAAATAATAAAGAATTATTTTTACAAGTTATAAACATTCCATTTGCCTTCGATTTTATTCTTTAATTATTTTTTAATATTTTTAAAATTAAATTTAAAATAAAAACCTTGTAAAATTACTAACATAATTTTCTAAAAATTTTGTTTGAGCTGCTGAACTAAAAATTTTTAAATATTATTTTTCATTTATTTATTCCCACTACCAACTAGTCTTGAAAAAGAGCAATTACAACACGCCAACGTTTAGCCGTTGAATTATCACAATTAAATAATTCGTCTTTTAAAGCATAAGAAGGGAGGGAACTTGCAACCCCAAATTCAATATTTTTAACAACTGCACGAAGACCTACAGATTCTGAATTATATCCACCTTCTTGTCCACATATATCTCCTATTCGAATAAGTAAATTACTCGTTTGTGGATAACAACTGAAAGAAAATTAAAAAAAAGTTTTTATTTAAAAATCTCTTAAAAATCTCGATTAATTCCCCTCCCTCTAATAATTCCCCCACTCGATTAATTCCCAATGCTAGAGTTGGGTTAAAACACTAATTCCCGACCCCAGAATACCCTACTGCACGTTCAAATGCCAAAACTCGAATAATTCCCCTCCCTCGATTAATTTCCATGCCAAGGAAGGGTTGAAAAAATAATTCCCCAGGGGCGGTATTCAAAAAAGCGGGTAGGGGTTAACCAACCCTCAGCTGCGGGTAGGTTAACCCAGAACCCTTATTCAAAAATGGAGGTCGGGGTAACCCTCAGCTGTGGGTTAGTTACCCGGGTAATAGAACCCGCAGCTGCGGGTCAGGTTCTAACCCTTATTCAAAAATGAGGGTTGCAGGTAATAGAACCCGCAGCTGCGGGTAAGATTTTAACCCTGCTCCGATGAGGGTTAAAATCTTACCCGCAGCTATTTAAAAATTTTTTAAAAATCCAAATTCAACCTAAAAATTCCAAATTAAATATTTTTAGATAGATTAGAGTGTGCTCGATTTTTTGATATAAATTTTAAAAATTTTTGTTGAAAAATAAATTTACTATAAATTTTCGCGTAAAGTACCCCATTTTTGAGCGAAAAAGGGACTCATTCTCTCCAATAGGCAGCTGCGGGTAAGCATCGAGTTCTGGGTTGATTTTTTTTGAATAAGGGTTAGCCCTCAGCTCGGTGTTCTATTACCCGGGTAAGAGAACCTGGTAAATTTACCAGGTTCTCCAACCCGCTTTTTTGAATACGGCCCCAGAGGAATTATTCGAGAAAATACGGTAAATTGTTTTGAGAAATAGTAAGTATAATTTATAAATTTAAATTTGATTAATGATAACCTTCTAAATTCATTTGTAATATTTCCATAACAATCTCTACTTCCCAAAAAACTATTACCAGCTATAGTTATATAAATAACAACATTTTTATTTGAATATTCCACAGATTCAGAATGGTCGGCACGATAAGCTATATCCCCTCCCCCATTAAATACCAAAATTAAAAATCTGTTCCTTGAAAAAATATTTTTGTTATAATTATAATTTTTCTCTTAACCCTAAATGCTGCTAAATGAATCACATCCTTAAACTATTTTAGAAATAAACTTTAAATTATTTCCTCGTATTTAAATTAAACAAAGTGATTTTTGTTCAGAAAATTAAAATTTAATTTTTAAATTCACACATTAATGAATTAATTCGCAAAAATTCTTTTAAAGAATTTATAATATTTTTATGAGCAAATAAAAGTTTAATGCCACCACTCCTCCCCCTCCTTATAATTAGAATTAATAATTAAAATTAAAAATATAAATTATTTCTAGATTAAATTTACATTGGAAAGAAGGCACTTAAAGTAAAAAGAACTCTTTCAGACAAATACTGATTTCCTTTTTTGAAATTCCCGACAGATTCTTCCAATATAAGTGTTCTTTTTGTAATTTCCTTCATTGTCGATGAAATACCATTAAAAACTGACTCAAATTTAAAAAAATTATTTTTAAAAATTATTTTGGAAATTTTTAAAGATTTTTAGCTTCAAATAATTTATCATCTCAAAAAATATTTTTTTAATTTAATTCTTTAATAAATAAAATACTTACAATTAAATAGAGAAAAAATAATAAAAATTTTCTTTTCATTTTTTATTAAATAAAAATATATTTTAAAAATTAATTTTAATTAATGCTGTTTTGATACGTTTATTTTAAAGAAAAACAAATAAAAATAAAATAAATAAGGGTAAACAAAAACATTTACTATTTTTAAAATTAAATTTATTTAAAATCGAGATTGTTGAATTGATCGCTGTAAAAGAATTAATAAAAATGGTTGTCATATTTTTATGAGAAAAATAGTCAAAAAAATTATTTTTTTTACAAAACTATTCACGTAACTAAAAATACATAAATAGTATTTTTATGAGAATGCTTTTATTAAAGAGAAGAGAAGAGGAAGAATATTTTTTGTTGGCCAAATTCACAATACCTACTACATACTATCTGTACAGCCAACTCACATTTTTCATTTTTATGCGCATTTTTTTATAATTTATTTTTTTTATTTTTCGAATATTCAATAATTAATTTTTATAGGTATTTTTTAAATTTTTTAAAGAATGCGTAGTTATTTTTATTAAATTTTCTCTCGAAGGGTGCTTCGGGAATTAACCAATTTTGTTAATAAATTTAATTGAAGAGACTATTCAATAATTAAAAAATATATTTAAATTATTAAATTAATATTCTCCAATTTTTTTTATAAAATTTATTTTCGTTTCTGGTTTTGCTTTTAATTTATTCGCTATTAATTTGTCAATTCAATTAACACTTCTCCTTTCTTTTAAATTTAATAAAAATAAATATCAATAATTATTTAATTTAAAAAATTAAAACTTTAAAAGATAATTTAATTTAATTTAATATTTATATTTAAAATTATCCACAAATTAATATTAAATTTTAAATTTTCTCTTTTTTTTATTTTCAATCAACATTTTTTTGTCCTATTTTTGTTTGTTTTGTTTGTTCTCTTCTATTTTATTTTTAAAATCATGACAACAATTTAATATTTTTTTGACAAAAACAACCATTTTAAAATAAATTATTGAATGTTTTTAAATAATTTAAAAAAAAATATTTTTTAATTAAAATACAAGGAAATAAAAATATTTTTTAAATAAAGAACACTTCCTTATTATTTATTTAAATATGCCTAAATTTATTTTTATTTACATATTAAATCAAAATTAAATTTTAAAGAAAGTCTATTAAATTTTAAAACAAATTTTAATTGATTCCCCCTTCCCTTCCCCTTTTATTTTAATCATTTGAGTATTTTTACTCCTTCACAATTTTGTTGTTTTGTCCTTTTTAAACAGGAACTTAAAAAATTATTTTTTAAATTAATCATGTGAGGGGGTTTGTGAATAATTAAAAGAATTATTTAAAAGGCATTTTTAAATTTAGAAAAAGTTTATTTTTATTTTAAATTATTTTATTTTGTTAATTAAAAATATTTTTTAAAGAAAAAATTAAATTAATTTTCTTTAATTAATTAAATTTTAAATAAATGTTCGTTAAATCTATTTATTAAATTAACAACTCTTTTCGCTAAATTTGTTAAACTTTTGCTTGCATAATTGTCTTTAATCTTTATTTTTTTCATTGAAATAATTAAATTACCTAAATATTTTGCTTAATTTCCTGTTAATTTATTTTTAATTTTAGTCTTTTTTTAATTTTAAAAATTAATTAATATTTAATTTATGCTTGGAACTTCCTCTGTATCATCATATTGTCGTGGGCGAGGTAAGAAAAATTTTTATCTAGGATGAGGGGAATCCATAAAAAATAGGGTTGCCGTTTTTTCGGGCTTGTTTTTATCAAGTCGGGCCTGTACGAGTCTTTTTCGGGTCAAACATCTAGGCCCGACTCGATCTTTCAGTCCGAGTCGGTCCATTTTGGCAACATTAATAAGAAATTCTAAAATATAAATCAAAATTAATTTTAAAATTAAAGCCAAAAGTATGTCAACGGAAGAATCAAACATGTTTTTTAATAATAATAATGGAGTTGTTAAAAAAGTAGAAAAAAAGCAAAAAAGAGCAGAAGCAAATAGAAAATATCAAGAAGCATATAGAATTGTTTGTGTTTAATTTTAAATATTTTAATTTGAAATTTATTTAAGAAAGGAGTTGAAGCTCGCCAAAAATTACCCGAATTGTATGCACGTATTGCTGAATTAGAAAGAGAAAATTCAATTTTGAAAGATTTGCTTTGGAAACAAAGAGATCCTCAAAGTTGGGAAGCTGCTCAAAATCAACAATCGTTAAAACAAGAACAACAACAAACAAATGTAACTTTAATAATTTTTTGAAATTTTTTAAATAAATTTGAAAAGAAATTTGAAGACCGTTAAATTTTTTTTTGTAGAATATTATGTTCTCTCAAAATGTCCCTTATGTTAGCATAAGTCGGCCTCCACCAATTAGCAAAAAACCAAATCTTTTCGATGTAAAACAGCAAAGCTTTTCTTGCCAAGTAAGTTAAAGTTCTATTTTTTAATTAAAATTTTCCGGTAATTTAAAGCTAAGGACTTTTTAGAGAATACTTTAATTTGAATAAAAATACATAAACAAATTTAATAATTTTTTGGTATAAAGAAACCTGCCTCTATAATGTACCTATTTATTGTTTTATTTTCGAGCATTCCGAATAAAATTTTATTCTTTTTCTTTTTTTTGTCTTGTTAAGTAGAAACAATAAGTACAATATATCATTCTCATTTAAGTTTGGGCACTGGGTCAGAAAAAGTTTGAACCTAATTAGCCGAAGCCTTCTATTAATTTAGATATTAGAAGTATCCCCTCTTTCCTACTATTTTTAAATTGAAAATATTTTTTTTTCAATTTTTTGTTAAGGATTTGAGCGTAAATGATGGACATTATTCTCCACAACAACACCAGCAACAATTTAATATTAACCAAATAAATAATGTTGATATTTGGAATAATAGTTTGAATAACGAATATAACAATTTTATTCCATCTCTTGACGATGAAAATATTTTTTATCGTCGTGCCCGCTCCTGTTCAATAAAATCACGTTCAGAAACTGAAATGAGTTTTGCTTCGGCACAAGAAGAAAATCTTTGGCTTTCTTCAAATATTTTTGGAGAAAATAATTTATCACAAGAACATTTAAATCAACAACAAAATTTAAATATAGAACAACAACACCAACAAATTGGAAGGGTTGCATCTTGTTCAGAAATGCTCCAATCATTCCCAGATATGTCAATAAATTGTGAAGGTGTCAATAAATAATTTCCAAAAAAATTATTTTAATTTAGATTCCAATCAAAAATTTGATAATTCTTTGAACAACCACTCTACTAATATTCCAACTTACCCAATCTCAAGACAATCATCATCTCCTCATATTGAGGGATTCTTTGCGCCTCCATTTGCCTTTGGTTAAACAATTTTCTTTTAAATATTATTTAAATAATTATAGGCAATTTAGATATAATGATTGACCAAAATGCTTCTAATTCTGTACTTCCTAATAATTTTGGTGGAAATATATCAACACTTCAGCAACAACAACAACCACCGCTTCTATCAACAATTAATGAAGACACACCAAGAATGTATACTGAAGCTCTAACAAATGTTACTTTAGAAACACCAATGTACCTTTAAATTTTGTCTTGATAATTTATTGACAATGAAATTAAATTTATTTTATAAATATTTAAAGCCTTTTTAAAATATTAAAAATCCGCTTCCGTAAATACTAGCGTGGGGAGTATTACTAGTAATTATAGTGCTTGCTCAATCTAAAGTTTATTTCTTGTATAATCTTGATTTTACATGCACCTTTGGAGATAACAAAAGTGTGTGTAAAATTGCGATCGGGTTGAAAATCGGGTGGATGTTAAAATGGATTATTTAGTCAAAAAAATTTTCTTTTTTTAATTTGAAAATAAAACATATATGTATTAAAAATCAACAATCAATTAAAATTAAAAAAGTTTGGAATATGAGCTCATTATTGATATGAGTTCATTACTACATTGATCTAGTTAGGAATAAAAATTATGTTTATGTGTATTGTTTTTCTAGAAAGTTGGGCAGATATAAAAAATATTTTTCGATAAAACAACAAATTATTTATATAATACCCGATTCTTTTAAATAAAATTTAAAAAAAATCCCAAATTAAATTTTAAAGTTCCGCCTCCTCCTGTGTTCTTGTACTGCTGTGAAAACGTCTGTTTAATCGTTTGGCAAAGTCCATTCGATAGGGATGGTAAATAAAAGCCGTAATACAGGGATTAACAATCTTTAATTATTCAAAATTATTAAATAAAATATTTAATAAACACCGGGTTAAGTTTAAGTAAATAATGTAGTAGCCACCCCAATTGACTTAACCATAAAGCCTTCCATCCACAAATATCAGCTAGCATAGTATCAAGATAGTTGTATTGTGCTAATACAAATACACGATAAGGCAAGAGACTTATGGCAGTCCAAACTGTTGTTATAAAGATAAAAACGAGTGAACGGACCTAAAAAAATTATTATTCTTTAAGTAATATTTATTTTTAACTGGACAACGAATTTAAATATTATAATAAAAATAGACTAATTAAATGCAAGAATTTAATAATTATCTAAGAGAATGTCACAATTATTTTTAATATTTAATTTTACTTTTCTTGTAAAAGCAGGTGCTAATGTTATTTGTTCTTCACTACTAGTAGAACTTGTAATTTGTAAAGTTGTTCGAAGACTGTGTCTTCTTTTTCGACTCATCAAACGTAACAGATGGCAGCTAACAATTAATGAGGAGAAAATAGGTAAAACACAAACAAGAAGAGTATAAAAAGTAAAAATATGTAATTTTCCAGTATTTAAACTTGTCTTTAAAAGAAAGAAAAATTCTTTAAAATTTATTAAAAATTTAAAACCGAGCATCGAACAAAATATTTTGAAGGCCCAATATTTAAAATATTTGAAAGCCAAACATAACTGACAAAACTTTAAATAAAGAATTTATTTTTAATTATTTCTTTAATTATTTATAAACTAACCAGCAAGATAAAATCCAAACAAAAAGGCAAAGTTTAACTGTTCTCCTAACAGATTTAATTATTCGATAATGTAAAGGAAAACAAAAATAAAGTAGTTTATCGCTATTAAGTAATACTAAAGATAAACTAGATGCTGACCAACTCATCCATCCAATAAAATGTAAAGCAGAACAAGGTAGACGTGTTAAAAAAAGGAATAAACGATCAAGTGATTCTAACATCATACATGAAACTAAAAATTAAAGATTTTGAACAAGTACATATCTATTAGCATAAATTCAAAAATACCTAATTAAATAAATTATTTAGCTATCACTCTTATACTGGACTTTGATGATTGGTCGAGAATCTCAGCACGATAACCTGTCCCGATAACCGAGATTTTTATCAAAATCTCGTCATGGTCCGACCTATATCTCATACCAGGGATCTAGCTGGTATAAGAAAAAATTTCACAGTTCCGGGAATCCAGGAGGGGGGGGGGTTTGTAAATATTTTTTAATTATCTATTAATAACCCATTCCATTTATTAAACATTGTTTTTTAAAAATTCTTTAACTACCAATAAGTAAATCAGCAATAGTCATACTAATAATGTAAACATGTATTGTGTCAAAATTCTTTTGGAAAAGCCGTAATGCACTATGAATAACAGAAACATTTAAAAATACAGCAAAAGTACATAAACAAAACATAATAATATCCACCTGATTTTTCATTAAAATATAAAATTTATATTTCTATTTAATTTACACTATTTTGTATTTCCCCAAATCTACGACTCCATTCTTTCAAAAATAACATTGAACAATTTGTTATTATTTTTGAATTTGTAGTAGTGGATTTTGTTGAATTATTGTTAATTAATAAATTATAATGGAAATTTTGAATTGTTGTTGTTTCCATTTAGGTAAACTGTTTAATTTTTAAAAGAAAATTCTGAAAAAGAAAATTTGAGAATTTAGTAAGATTGTTAAAGTAAAGAAATGATTTATATTTAGTTTTTAGGCAGATAGCTAAAAATAAAATAATTTATATTCTAATTTTATATTTCAAAATTTAATGTCTTAATTTTAAATAATTCTTCCGTATAATATAAATAATAGTTAAAAATTTATTCTAAATTTATTTTTCAAATATTAAATTAAAGGATGCCCTTTTCTGTTAATTGAAGAAAAATAATGTTTTAACTAAGTCTTAGGGGAATAAATGAACTTTTATTTATTCATTTAAATTTGCAGCTATTCATTATTAAGGAATTAAAAAAAAAGATAAAAACCGCTGCTGTTGAGACAAAATGAAAAAAAGAAAGAAGAGAAAAAAATAAAAATGAATGATGAGGATTTTTAAAATTTTTTAACAAAAGGGGGTGGGAGAAATTGAATAATCAATTTGCCAAACAAAAATCTCTAAAAGCTTTAGTGAAGTTAAGCATTGCTAATCTAAATATTTTAACAAAACGTTAAAATTAAAATAATAATAAGCTTTAAGTAAAAGAAAATTTTCCCCCCTTTCTTTCCCCCTAAAGCAGAAACAGCAAAAAAATGTAGTATATTTTAATTTTCTTTATAATAATATCTCACGCATAAACACTTTTTAAATGCCTTCCTTTTTTTAATTTTTATGCATAATTTAGTTAATATTTTTTTGTTTTTAAAGGAGAGATATGAGGACTAAAGAAGAAATTTTCAGAAATATATTTATAAATGTTTGTTTATATTGAAAAATTATTTTTTTAATAAAAAATTTAATGATAAAATAAGTATTATTAATTTTGAAAAGGATTATACACATATGTATATTTACAAATCTGTCAATTACATTTGTATGGATTTAAAGGAAATAATTTTAAGAGCGTAACAAATATTATGCAGACAATCCGGATATCCGGGTCCGAAGAAGTTGGAATATTCGAAATTTCTCGATTCATATATCCAGAGGAGTAAATCCCCTGAGTTCTCCTCTGAGCTTTTTATCGGCTTATTATTTGCTACAATGACGTTGCCTCCCCAAGAATTATTCTCAAGACCCTCTCCGTCGCCGGACAGTTCTCATTAATTAAAAAAATTTTGATTACGGACGCGGCTTTCCGAAAGATTCTCGAGATCTGCTTAACTATAGTTGATAATACAAAAAAATATAAAATTCTGAAAAACTTAAGAAAATTTTAAAGGCAAAATAAAATGGTAAATATGGAATATATTTTTGGCAAAAATAGAATACCTAATTTAATTTCTATATATACTTGTTTACATTACTTAAAGTAAGCTCTAAAAGTACTTTTTTAAAAATAGTAAATGAACATTTGTCTATAAAAATAAGTTGTTTTGACATCCACCTCCCCCACATTTTTCTCTTATTTTTATTTAAAATTCAATTATTTTAAAGAACTTTTTATTTATGAAGTCATTACAAAAATCTATTAAAATCAACCCCCCCCCCCCACATTTTATAAAGAATAATGATTAAATTAATTTAATTCTTTTAAATTAAATAAAAAGAAAGCTTATGTACTATAATGTGGGGAAAATTTAGTTGAAATGTGAAGAAGTGAAAAGTTGAACAAAGGAATGAACGATAAACTTATCCACCTAAAGTTTACACACTTTTCTTAATCATATTTTGGGTGAATGTCTATTAATTATGGAAAAACTGACTTAATTTAAAATAAAATAATTTTTTGAAAATTTTCTTGAATTTTAAAGTAAATATTTATATGTATATCAGAGGTGGGTCGGAATTCCGATTTCCGACTTGCGATTTCCGAAAAAAATTTTTGATTTCCGAGCTCCGACTTTTGAGCCAGTTCCGATTAAAGGCTCTTCCTATTTCCGACACCTCTGAATGTTCCGACCCAACTCTGATGTATATTAATAGAAAATACCTATGTATATTAATTTAGTAAATATTGAAAGAAATGGAAAAATAAAACATCAATAGCAAATAATAATAGCAATAAAATACATAATTAAAAGCAAAAAATATTTATTAAAATCTCGGTATAATGTTCGTACTTAGAGAATAAAAATTGTTTTATCTTTCTAAAAGGAAAATGCTGATGGAATATATTTTAATAATTATTTATATATTTAGTGTCTGAAACGACTTTTAATGTGTTAATGGATTTTACAATAATTTTGGTACAAACGAGAGTTTATAATATTTTTTAAAATATCCCGCAATTTATTTTCTATTTTTATCTATTTATAGATATGTATCTATTGCACAACAAAATTTTATTTGTTCAATTTCACCTGTAAATAATATAAAATATTTTTACTTAAATGAACTTAAAATAGTATTAAATTGTGATATTTAAAAGAAAAGCTATAAAAACATATACCGTAAATACTATAATATAAGCCCTGGGCTTATATTTTTCAAAAGGTCACTTTGACTGGGCTTATTAGAGGTGAGCTTCTAATAGAGGTGGGCTTATATTAGAGTATTTACAATATATATTGTATTTAAATGTTAAAATTACTGCTTTAAGGAGGGTCTATAAATTAATTACGAGAAGGATTTTTATTTAACGCTATCCACCATTTTATCCTCTCGAATACAGTAAAAAACAAGGCATTTTTTCCCATACCCATTTTTTAT